GGCTGGGGCGGGCCCCATCCTCCCTATCCTCATAGAGAGGTGGGTGTGCTGGGTGTAGCTGTCCCTGGACCACATTCACTAGTCAGGCTGCATCTCTCTCAGGAAGGCGACACGGCGCTGCATGATGCCACACGGCTCAGCCGCTACAAGATCATCAAAATGCTGCTCCTGCACGGGGCTGACATGATGGCCAAGAACCAGGTGAGCAGCGGGACCGGCACTGTGGCTATTTTCTGCCCCACCACTTCACACCACCCTCGCCCAAACCTCTCTCTGCTTGTTCTGCAGGCTGGCAAGACCCCGACGGACCTGGTGCAGCAATGGCAGGTGGACACACGCCAGGCTCTGGAGACCAAGGAGCAGCTGCAGGACGGGACAGAGGTTTCTGCGTGACAGCGCCAGGCAGGGACCAGGGACCAGGCTCAGCTCCAACGAGCAGGATCCAACCAAGACTTATCCATGTCAATAAAAGCCAGCAAAAAGCAGCGTTTGTCTCCATGGGGCTGGGGAAGCTGGGTTACTAGGGAGCTGGTTATCCAGCAGCATGTAAGTGCCCTGTCTCCTAGCACAAGAACACCATGGGGCTGGGACACCAAAGGTCGAAGGGTGAGACTCCTTGCTGCAGGAAGCCCTGCTTGCTGACAGTGCTTCAAAGTCTCACTTGGGCAAGCACAGGGAGGAAAACTACATCCAGGACAGCCCAGGCTGGGTCCACGCTGTGCCTGAGGCTGGCACTGCACCAGAGAGCAGCAGTCATATTACATTTTTCCCCCGCCGGGGCAGCCACTCCATGGGGCTGGATGGCTGCCTGATCTGTCTTCCCTGCTGGCACCATCCCCAGGTGGACACAGTGGCCCCTTTGCAGGCTGGGTCACTCCTGCCAAGTGCAGTGCTCGTTGCTCCCAATGCAGAAACACTCCTGCTCTCCCATTTAGAGGAGGTCCCCACACCAACACCCAGCACAGGGGAAACCTGCCCACAGCCCCTGGACTCCTACAGTGTCTGATCCCTCCTTGGCCCTGTAGCCCAGCCCCATAGGCTTCAGAGGGATGGCTGCCAGGGCTGGCAAGCAGAAAGGAAAGTAGAGCTGGGGTGGCCAAGGCTCACCCAGCGGGGTGCTGAGCTCCTGTGGCCAGCCCCTGCAGTGGGAGGGAGCATCCTGAGCTCACCCAGTACCACCCCCCGTGTAGCCTGCCCATGCGGGTTATGGGTCCTTCATGTGCTCCGTCAAACATTAACAGCCCCTCAGCAGGGCCGGCAGCAGCACCAGCCACCATGGCGCTCAGCACCCGCCTCGTCTCGCCCCTCCGTTCTGTGCTGGCAGCTCTGCGCTGGGCAGCCCCCAGGCAGCACCGGGCGCTCAGCACTCCACAGGGACCACGGCATAAGCTGGACCTTGGTGGCATCTTCCCGCCCCTTGCCACCCCCTTCTCACCCATGCAGGAGCTGGACTGTGCCCGGCTGGAGGGGAACCTGTGCAGCTACACCAGCATCCCCTTCCGAGGTAAGTGCTGCCTGCTCCCCCTTTCTGTGCAGGTTCCTGTCGTATCCCTGCCCGCCGCAGGGGCTGTGTGGCAGTGTGCAGGCATCCTGCCAGCTTCCCGAGGGTGCTCAGCCTCCAGATGGACCTTGCTCCGGGGCTGGCAGCCCCTCGGGTGACCCATTTGAGCCCTTTGCATGGCACATGCCCAGGCACACGTGTGAGTCCTTGCACAACACCACCATGCTCCAGTGCGTGCTTGCCTGGACATGTGCGCAGCTTGCACACACCTTCCACTTGTAGCTGTAGGCTTGCACCTACCCTCTGCCCCACAGGTGTGCTTGCACACCCGTGCACACTCATACTGATTCAGTGCCATGGGATATGTATCTGTTGATTGCTCAGGATGGGTGGATGAGAGGAGAGGGGCAGCAGGAAGAGTGCGGGAGCCACAGGCATGTGCCCTGGGGTCTCCCCTCTTCTGATCATGTTGTGAGCCCAGGGCTGTGGGGAGGGAGACAGGAGAGGGCACACTGTGGGCTGCAGAGCCATGCCTGCCCTCCCCACACTTGTGTCTCAGGGCTGGTGGTGCTGGGCTCCAATGGGGAGTACCCCTACCTGGCACCCCAGGAGCGGCTGGAGGTGGTGAGCTGTGTGCGCCGAGCTCTGCCCAGGGACCGCCTGCTGCTGGCTGGCTCAGGCTGCGAATGTAAGTGCTGCTGTGGGCTGTGCAGGGCTGTGTGTGTCTCCCAGAGCACCCTGACGCCTCTGCCTCCTCCCCAGCCACCCCGG